ACTCACCTTTTTCTTTCTAGTTCCCCAGTCAGACTGGTTCATCAATTCTTTTCTTCGATATCAAAATTGCCATCATTTCTCTTCCTTCTTCAGCTTCTCCATTCAAAGAGTTTTCTGTTATCCATCCATATCTGTGAGACCTTCCTGCCATATCCTTACCCTTCCCAACGCAGGTTCATCTTCCCCACCACTCGGCTGGGAGCAGAGAGCCAGTTCAGCGATTTCCTGGACGGGCTAGGGCCGGGGCAGCTCGTGGGGCGACAGACGCTGGCAACGCCCCCGATGGGTGAGCGGGGACAGCGCCCAGGGGGGCTCCGGAGGGAGGGGAGGGTGGGGAAAGGACCCCGTGATCCTTCCCAGGGCTCCATCCCAGCGCATCCCGGTCCGGGAGTGCTCGGGAATAATCGGGAATGTTCTGTCCTATACAGGGGAGCGTGCGGGGCATCCCTGAGAAGCAGCAGCTCTGCCTTTTCCCGGGGTTTCCTTTTCCCAGGGCCTCATTTTGGAGAATTCCGGAACCAAACCCCACATTTTGTCCCGCTTTTCCCATTGAAATTCCAAATGGGAATCCAAAGTTGCACCCTAAATCTGAATTCCCAGCCAGCAGCAGCGATTCCCCAGCTGGAGACACACCCCAAGGTGTCCCTGATCCTGCTGGGATGGAGATGCTGGGAATGGGAAGAGCTGCTCGGTGTCCCCTGTCCTGTCCCCTGTCCTGTCCCTGTGGCACTGGGAGCTGGTCCTGGATAAATCCCAGCAGGAGGAAAGGGGAGGAAAGGGAAGGAAAGGAAAGGAAAGGAAAGGAAAGGAAAGGAAAGGAAAGGAAAGGAAAGGAAAGGAAAGGAAAGGAAAGGAAAGGAAAGGGGAAAAGGAAAGGGGAAAAGGAAGGGAAAGGGGGAAAGAAGGGGAATGGGGAACAGGGAAATGGGAAAGGAGGAGAAAGGGGAAAGGGAAAAGGGAAATGGGGTGGTTGGACCCCTCAGAGTTCCTGTCCCCTGATCCCTCCTGTCCCAACCTCTCCTTTTCCTGGGGAATCACCCACCGAGGCCCAGCCTGGTAAATCCCAGCCTTGTTCCCATCAGGAGGGATAAAATCCCAATGGCAGGGATGGAGCTGAGGGGGACGAGGGGCTCCCACCCAGATCTCTCCTCGCTGCTCAATCCAAACTCCTTCCCACCCCCCGATTCCCAACAAACCCAACATCCAGTGGGACTCTGAGGATGGGGGTGCCCAATTCCCCAATTCCCAGCCGTGCCGAGGACACGGGGCTGTGGCTGTCCCCAGGGGGAGGTGACCATCCCTGAAGGCGTGTCCCCCCCTTGCAGGTGACGTCCACGTGGGCATGGCTGACCGCAACGGGCAGCTGGAGGTGGACGTGATCCAGGCCAGGGGACTCATCCCGAAGATGGGCTCCAAGTGCATCCCTGGTAAGGGGCTGGGGGCGAGGGAGGGGGTTGGGGAGGGAGGTCCCGTGCTGGGATCATGCCAGGATCATGCCAGGATCCCTGTTTGTCCCCATTCCCCACGACAGCCACCTACGTGAAGGTTTACCTGCTGGAGAACGGCGTCTGCCTGGCCAAGAAGAAAACCAAGGTGGTGAAGAAAACCTGCGACCCCTCGTACCAGCAGCCCCTGCTCTTCGAGGAGAGTCCCCAGGGCAAAGTCCTGCAGGTGGGCAGGGACACCTTCCCCTGTCCCAGGGCTGGCTCTGAGCCCCATCCAGCCTTGCCTCGGCACTGCCAGGGGTGGGACAGCCACAGCTGCTCTGGGCTGGGATGTTCTCCTCAGGGTTGGGATGCTCTCCTTGGAGTCTGGGATGTCGTCCTTGGGGTCTGGGTGCCCTCCTTGCGGTCTGGAATGTTCTCTTTGGGGTCTGGGTGCCCTCCTTGGGGTCTGGGATTCTCTCCTCGGGGCTGGGATTCTCTCCTTGGGGTTGGGATGCTCTCGGGGCTGGGATTCTCTCCTCGAGGCTGGGATGCTCTCCTTGAGGTTTGGAATTTTCTCCCCAGAGCTGGGATGCTCTCCTTAGGGACTGGAATGCCCTGCTTAGGGTTAGGATGCTCTCCTTAGGGTTGGGATGTTTTCCTTGAGGTCTGGGATGCCCTGCTTGGGCTTGGGATGTTCTCAAGGCTGGGATTCTCTCTTTGGGATCTGGGATGCCCTATTTGGGATCTGGGATTCTCTCTTTGGGATCTGGGATTCTCTCTTTGGGATTTGGGATTCTCTCTTTGGGATCTGGGATTCTCTCTTTGGGATCTGGAATACCCTGTGCCAAGACCTCCCCACCCTCACAGGCTGAGGGGAGCAAATCCAGGAACCCCCAGAGCCTTTCCTGCATCCCTCAGCCCCTCCCAACGCCGACCCCAGCAGGGATTTCCCCATCTGGGCGGGATTTCCCCAGCATTCCCAGCTCCATGGCCCGTTCCCTGCCCGCAGGTGATCGTGTGGGGCGATTACGGGCGCATGGACCACAAGTGCTTCATGGGGATGGCCCAGATCATCCTGGAGGAGCTGGATCTCTCCAGCACCGTCTCGGGCTGGTACAAACTCTTCCCCACCTCGTCCCTGGCCGACTCCAGCATCGGACCCCTGACCCGCCGCCTCTCCCAGTCCTCCCTGGAGAGCTCCACCAGCCCCTCCTGCCCCTAAAGGCTGGGATTGGGGAAGGAGACACCCAGGGAGATCTCACAGAACTGGTCGTGGAGAGCTGTAAATATCTTTTTTTTTTTCTTT